GATCAAATAAATCATTCTTTGATTTGAATTTGATCAAATCAAATATTCAAATATCAAATCGAATTGCGGAACCCTAAATTTAATTTTTGTTATTTTTATAAAAAAAAACACATTAAACTTGCCTTTATAAAATAATCCGATTTCTTAAGATTTTAGAAAATAAGCCAATATAACTTTACTTGCCTTTAGTCTTGTCGATTTCCGGATGATCATCGGACTAATGTTACACAAATCATTTATGATTAGCAGTGATCATTTAAATTAAAATTTTTGTTTGTTTAAGTTCCCTCAACTTTTTTGAAAATGAGGATCATAATTAAGGGAGGTATATGGAAAAATACTGAAGGTGAGTTAATATAACCATTCTTTCAAACATTATGCATCTAAATTGAAGATTCATAGTTGTTGATATATATGTATAGACGAAATCTTGAAGGCTGCTGTTAGTAAATATGGCAAGAATCAATGGGCTCGTATATCTTCGTTGCTGGTTAGGAAATCACCAAAACAATGCAAAGCCAGGTGGTATGAATGGTTAGATCCTAGTATTAAAAAAGTAAGTCAGGTCTTATTTATGATAGATATCATATTATAATATATTATTTAGGTTGCCTGCTTTATTTATATAAAGCCGTTAACCCTGCTATAACTTTGAAGTTTTTCTTTTATATATATATATATATTTTTGATATCATATTAAAATAAAATTATTTATTGAAATCTAGACTGAATGGTCCAAAGAGGAGGATGAAAAATTACTTCATCTTGCTAAGCTGATGCCTACACAATGGCGAACAATCGCCCCTATTGTAGGAAGAACACCATCTCAATGTCTTGAACGATATCAGAAATTATTAGATGAGGCTGAGGCAAAAGAAGGAGCAGATTTAGATTTAACTGGACCAGTTGGAGATGCAGGTCCTAGCGCTGATGATGTTCGACGATTAAGACCTGGAGAAATTGATCCTGATCCTGAAACTAAACCTGCAAGACCAGATCCTGTTGACATGGATGAGGATGGTAATTGCCATTATGTTTATAATTAATCAATGATTTATTAATTATTATTTTAATCTCATATTCTAATTTATCTAATACTTAAACAGAAAAGGAAATGTTATCAGAAGCTCGAGCTCGTTTGGCTAATACTCAAGGTAAAAAAGCCAAACGTAAGGCACGTGAAAAGCAATTAGAAGAAGCTAGACGATTAGCTTCGTTACAAAAGCGACGAGAATTAAAAGCTGCCGGGATTGAGTGGGTTATTTTTAATGCTCATAGTTGCTATTATTGTTTTATATATTATATCTTATTTTTTATTCATTTTAGTTTAAAAGGTAAAAAGAAGAAAAAAGGAATGGATTATAACGCTGATATACCATTCGAAAAGAAACCAGCTCCGGGATTTTATGATATTTCCGATGAAAAGAACCGACAATTAGAACAAGGTCTTTCTGGTGGCCTTCATAAATTGGACGGTAAACGAAGATCTGATGTTAATGATGAGAAAAAAAGAAAAAAACAAAAAACAAACAAGGATGAAACTGAGGGCGGTCAGATTAATTTTGTACCTGCTAAAGCTTCACAATTGAATAAGCTTAAACAGGCTGAACAAATAAATAAAAGAAGAAAACTTGTTCTTCCGTCCCCACAAGTGGGAGAGAATGAACTTGAAGAAGTCAGTTACTACATTTTTTTTTTTTTTTGGTGAAATTTTTCAATTTTTAATATTATATCATTTTTTAGATTGTAAAAATTGGGTTTGCTGGAGAAAATGTTAGAGCTGTTGTTGGAGAAACCGATAATGTTTCTTCACTTGGCAATTATACTCCATCTACATCTGCCTTGCCATTGAGAACACCAAGAACACTTGGTGGTTCTATGCAAACACCAAGGACTCCTGCTACAATATTGTCTCTCCGGACTCCAAGAACCCCTGCGTCAGGTATGTTGAAGTTTGAATGAATTTCACAAATTAATCTTTAAACAGTTTAATAAATTTATTATTATTATTATTATTATTATTATTATTATGACAGCTAGTGCAGCAACGATAAAGCAACTTAGAGCTGGGCTGTCCAATTTGCCAGCACCGAAAAACGATTTTGAAATTGTTTTGCCTAATGTCGAGGTCCAAGAAGATCAAATAGATGATATTAAAGGAATAGATGAAGATGCTAGTGATAGGGATAAAAAAATTAAAGCCCAACTTGAGGAAGAAGGTAGCAATTATAAATCTAAATTGTTTAAATCGAAACGGACGAAATTGAGTGTTAAATCATCTATTAAATTATAGAAAGGGTACGACTTTTACGCAGATCTCAGGCTATCCAACGCGATCTTCCTCGCCCTACTCAAATCAATCCGAAATTAATTCTTGAAGTTGCTTCATATGAAGATCCTTCCAGTGATCTTCTAGAGATTGAAATGTTAATAAACACGGAAATGGTACAATTATTGAATCATGATGCAATTATGTATCCAATTCATGGAAGTAAGATTGTTGGTGGAAATGTAGATGAATCATATGAAGAATTTCCTGATGATTTAATAGATAAGGTGAAAGATGTTAATATCTATATTGTCCAAGTTTAATTGGGTATTTATCTAAAAATACTAACTTTTTATAGGCAAGGAAAGCCGTTGATGAAGAACTTGCCATTTCTACCAATAATAATCTTATTTCTGAAGTAGATGATTTTTACGATATTTGGCAACATTTGCATGAAAATTTTGAAAATAATAATTTTCCAAAGGAGCTAGAAGTTAGTAAATTACTTTTCTTTGAATTATTGTATCATTATTTTGAATAGATTTTTAAAAAAAATATATATATATGATATATAGATAAATCGTAATATTATGATAAAAGACACCACTAAAGCAACCAAATTAGAAAAGAAGTTGAATGTTACATTAGCTGGTTATCTGGTAACTATTTATTATTATTATTATTAAATTTTTTGTATACAAATTATTCAATTTATTAATAATGTTATCATTTAATCATTCAAAGGCTCGTTCTCGAACTCTCTCAAAAAATATTACAGAAATGTTTGAAGAAATTGAACAGGCAAAAATTGAATTAAATTCTTTTCGATCATTAAACATATCCGAGAAGGATGTAATTCCTAAACGAATGGAGGCATGTATATTTATTTATTTATTTACATACATACATTTGTTAATTTAATTTATTAATCTGTAGACTATCCAAGATGAAGTTAATTATCTTATCAAGCGCGAATCGGAACTTCAACAGCGATATGCTCAACTCTCAACTGAAAAACACGATATACAAGAGCGGATTAATGGTTTGCTTAAAATTTGAAAATGTTTATGTAGAAAATAAACTATACTAATTTTTTTTAAATAAACAAATATAATATTATTTTATAAAACAATTTGACATTTAATATGCATTGCAGTTATATATAATTGTAAAATTAGATGTGGTTCCATAATATATTTCAATAATTTATATATTGCAATAACTATATTATGCATGGTTGTGATTATTTCATCAAATGTTCGACTTTGGGATATAAATTTTACAAAAAAAAAACAAAACTCGAAATAAATAGCCAACTTATGTATGTAACTATGAGCTTTTCCACCGAATATCAATCATTCTTTCTTCAAATCTCTTAGGAACAAGAGAATCCCTTTCCCATCTAACTCCAGGGAAACTCGTTCTTCATAAGTTGAATCAGGAAATCCAAATCCACCATCAATCGTTGTCTTGTGATGTATGCCATTCCAAATTATAACATCGGATATATTAGTTGTGAGAGAGGTACCTACTGTAAAGGTATGATGATAATAAAAGGCTGCGAGCATACGTATGAATAATAATGGTCCCCATTTTTGATATATTGGACAAATAGCAGTCCGTGAAGTACCTTTAAAAGGTTTTCCTGGGGATGGGTGACAGGGAAGTTGTTTTCCATTAGGAATTGAATAAGATATGAACCAAGCACCAAATTTTTCACTAAAAGAATATGACATTTCTCCATCCGGCATAGGTCCTATAGGAGGTGGTGCCATAGGATCATGACAAGGAGTTTTACAATTAGGACATATCATCTGTGATGAAGGCATATATAACCATGTTTCTATACAAGATTTGTGGAAAATGTGAGGACAATTGTTCATTTTTACAATATCGGGAGGTTGTCTGAAATTGATTATCAATTCAGCACATATAGTACAGCTTTCTTGCGCGGCTTCCCGTAGTCGATCTTGTGTAGCCAAAGAAGTAAATTGAAACAAATTGATAGACCTAGGCTTTTCGACTTGTCGTCTTTTAGCATGTACTATTCCATCATAGCTTTTAAGTTTTTTTAACATATTAATAAACCCCTGGTCTAATTTTGATGAAGAAATATTTGATAGTCTATTCAAAACAAAATCTAAATATTTCACGAGATATGGATATTCGCCATGTGATTTTACTGGCCAGAATTGCTTAGAAGCCATCGGCACACCATAAAAGCTTGCAATTCCTTTTGATAAATCAACTTGTTGTGTCCATTGTTGTATCATTATTTGTGCCTTACGAAGCATCCAATTAGATGAGACTGTAATAGGATGAGGATGATGCACTTGCACTTGATTTATAGTTTGATTACAATTTACAGGAATTGGCGGTAAATTGAAATTAGGTAGATGAATTGGCGGCAATGATGTATAATTAATTCCACATGAATTAATGCCTCCAGTGGTATTAAATTGTGATGATGTATTTCCATTGTTAAAGGACCATTTCGAAGTGCTTTGATTGTTTGTATTAAATGAATTAAATCCCGTTGTTTTCATTCCTGGTAATTGTATCATGAAAGGATTGGAATGTTGACCCTGAGATTTTTCATAATGTATCGCCAAAATAGGTAGGACCTGAGAATTTTCGTATACTACATATTCATCAGCCACGGCAACGTAATGTTTAACACTGTGAAATCCTTTAGGAGGATACTTAGTATGTAGGTTCACAGTTTTATCTTTTGTGTTGTCATAAATTTTTCCAAGAGCAGTAACACAAACTACTAAAGCTCTTTTTGAGTTATGACGACTAGCGAATAGATCACATTTATCAAAACTTGGTGATAAATATATTGCGGGTCCGCAATTACCAAGAGCTTTTGAAAAACGACCATCCTTGTAGTTCAAATGAAAGAAAAAAAAATAATTAATATTTATGTGTAAATATACTGTATAAATAATAATAATGATAATATACATACTAGACCATGATCCAATATGGATGTGACGTTATCTGGTTGTGTTCCATGAAATAAGACCGTATCCTTAAATGCAGTCTCAAAATTTGGTTGAAAAAGTCCATCGTTTTCTTCTTTTTCTATAGCTTGTTGTAAACTCTTAAATTGTTGATACCTAAAATTGAGAAAAGTCTGGCTTAAGAATACTCGAAGTACAAAAGAAATTGATTTCAACGGACGACTACATACATATTTACCTTTCCCAAAGAGTTCTATTTTGTAAAATTGAAATCATTGTTATGTTACATGAAACTTCATTTAGGTGCACTTTAAAATAAGCGGCAATGTCTAAATATAATTGGTCATCTTTAGAAAGGACGATACTTTTCGGAGGTGTCGTAAGCGAAACATTAAAGTAACTGCGAACTCGGTCCAAAATTAGCTTTCCGTCTTCGAGTTGATATTCTCTTTTACTACCCATTTTGTTGAAAAATTCAATTATGAGAAATAAAAGATATGTATTTATATTCAAAATAAAGGCACGTGACGTTTTATCATTTATATCGGAATTACCCGTAAAATTTTTTGTTTTTGTGTCCTTTATAGGCTTCTTTTTTTTGGTCCATAAACAAATAACAATAACAATAACTATTAGGCAATAATCATTCCATTCATGTTTTAAACAATTTAATAGATGATCTTCGAATTCATTATACATCTTTTATGGTTATATTGATTGTAATCTTTCCAAGCGAAGCGATAATAGTTTTTATTATGTAATATGATGGTAAATAAATAGATTTTTTTTTTTTAATATATGGTCGAATTCGATACATGTGTATTCGAGTATATTGAGATTATATTAATAACGATTTTTATATATATAAGCTTGCAATTGCAATTTACTGATATTAAAATAAATACAATATAAACAAATATTAACTCAACCATCTATAAAGAAAGAACAGATAAATGTAGCATTATATATCTTCAAAAAATACGTAAAGGGAACTACCGCACATTTGTTTATTGAGAATTGGAATAATTAGATGATTAAAATAAATCAGAACTACGATAATTTTTCGTCAGAAATCTTAAGGGAAAAATTTACCTACTATATATAATAAATGAATGTAAACATTCATTCCGAGGATTAGTCATCATCCTTTGTTTCTTTAATTTCCTTAGTCTCCTTAGTTTCCTTAGTTTCCTTGGATACCTTGGATTCTTTAGTTTCATTCTCTGGAGTTTCTTTGGTCTCTTTAGTTTTCTCTTCGGACTTTTCTTTAGGTTCTTCCTCAGATTTTACATCAACTTTTTTATCATCTTGTTCATTAATTTTTTCATCTCCCTTTTTAAATATTTCACTATTTAGCTCTTGCATCTCATAAAACTTTTCCTTAAAGGTATTGGCATCTATTGACCACAAGTACATGATTAAATCAGATTTATTCATCGTATAAAAACAACATACTGTACTTACTTTCGGTATTAGAAAACCGAATCGCCAATGTTTCTGATTTGGCTTCACCATCAGAAACGTCGGCACTAACATTCCACACCCATGAACGATCTGATCCAACGTTTGGAGAAAGTTGCATTTCGGATGTGACTGAATTAAAATATGAGAAATAGGTTTAACCTGACATGTTTGTTTTTTAAACGTTAGATAAATAAATAGAATTACGCTTACTGTAATGATTGGCACAAACTTTATGAGTCTTGTCCCGTCGCATTACTAGACGAACTTTTTTTGTCTGTTTATGCCGGAGAAAACGAACATCTCCTGTGCCTCGTTCTTTCCATTCCTTTAATGGTTTATCAAATCGAAAAAGTTTGGCGCGCCTTTATTTAAAAATCCGTTAAAGAATTAATATTAATAATTTAAATATGTTTGGAAGCTCGTAGAGTTAAAATGATCATGTTGTATTCTTTTTTCATTTTCACAGAATTTCCTCCTTTCAATCTTCAACAGTTTAGCAAACTTGCAATTCAATTATTTCTTCTTCCCAAATCGGAAGCTAATGAAAGCAAGTGAATATGCTGTTGATGCAATTCAGCTAACCCTCCTTTTTAATTCTAGGTTTTACTTGTTTACTCACATTTTAAATAAGACATCCTCGTCTTCTTCAAAGGTTTTTACCTCAACCTCGTCTAATTTGATGACGGGATCAAAGTAAATTTCAGGTGAAGGGACTACGTCCTCCTATTCATAAAAGACATCGAGTATAGATTAATAAAATTGTTTTGCACAACGCACAAACGCGTCAATTATTTTACCTCTTCGGTTCCCTTTGAAGATCCCGTGACAACTTGCTTGCTTTCAGTTTCGGCCATGGTTGGAACTTAGGATTGTGCGGGATAATGGAAATTTTTTTTTTTCAGAAAAAAAAAAAAAATCATCATAAATAGAACGTTGCTGTGGAAATTACGCATTTGTCACACAGTCTTGTCACAGGATCAAATTTCGATAATCAAATTTTCAATTTGTTACGCGACTAGGAAAGATACAGAATAAAAAAAAATTTTCGTTATATTCGTAATGAATACTCGTAAAAACAATAACGTTGCACCTTTATTTTCGTGGCCACAGTTATCTTCCACGGGCACAGCTATTGAAATAGGGAGTTTAGGTAGTTGCTCTTACGGAGAGAGTACACCACGAAATACAAGTTGGAATTGCATGAACGAGGTCCAAACTTGTAAGACTCGCATAATATTTATTTTATTTTGAATACCTTAAAATGTAGAATGAGTTAAATACAAGTTTTCTTATAAATTTAGATGGATTTGATATAGGACAAGTTACGAGTATTACGCAATTGTTTCCACATACAAGACGTTATTATCCTGTTATACAACAAAGATACCCTATTGCAAAAAGATCTTCCGCGAAATCTGTAAGTCACACCTTGAAAAACCGAATATATAGCTGATTTTATATTTACTATAACATTCTATGATAGGCTCAAATTTTAAAAGAATCCTATCCGGAATTCGATATTTCACAAGAATATATCGCTGCTACCTTCTTAGAAGAATCATACAATGAAAGTCATTATAAAATCCTTGATCCTTATATGAGCAATGAACTGATTTCCGTCGGAAGCTATGAGTTTGGCCCTGGAATAATTGAGAAATTCATGACTTTTCCAATGGGAACTTCCGGAACTGAATTAAGTAATGGTCCATAAGTTTTCTTTTTTAATAAATTGTTATATGGTTATTTTAATATCTTTTTTTTTTTAAAATCGTATTTATTTTTATGCGAAAAGATTTTATTCCTTTGTCTGATGATAATACTCTCCGAGATTCAGATTACATTGTAAACCAATATCAACCAGATTTGAGAACCATATCAACATTAAATTTCAAGACTCCTATAAAGCAAGTATCATCCTCAATATATGAAAATACTCCTACCAGTCGTGAAAATACTTTTAATTGTTGTCCTTGTAAGATTTATAAATATTTTTATCCTAACCTTATTGATCAACGGTTAATATTTTATTCTCTTACAATCTATAGCTCTATTGGCAATTCGTACAATGTCTGGTACTACTTTCTTGAAAATAATACATTTAGAATCGGAATTAAAAGCGATTGCGTTGGATAGCATAATACATGAAGATAATCTTGATCACATGCATGTTACATTCAATCCAATGGTATATGGTGAAGCAGCTATCGTGGATGGTAATGGTGGTATTCATTTATGGAAAGGAGAAAGGTTTGAAAAGTATTCAAAGTAATTATCAATTTTTTTATATCCATATGTTTTTCAATAATTTATCAACTTTATTTATTATGATTGCCATGATTTTCGATAATGTAATTTGTAGATTTTTCTCTAAATATGATTTCAAAACGATACAAATATCTCAAATTGACGTAAATTTACCTTTCAAAGATTTATGGAGGACTTGCGTGTATGGTGCACACCCCCAAACTCTCGTTGTCGCTTCTCGAACTAGTGCAGATATCTTTGATTTTAGGGTAACTCAAATATTTTACAATTACTAATCTTCGTAATGTATACGTTACTTATATTTAATTTTATTTCATAATATAATTATTTTTAGAGTAGGAGCGTAACATTATCTCAAAATCTTTTTGATGTTAATAATAAAGATAAAATATTCTCATTTCAAAGATCACCCGTATCTAATGCATTTGAGTTTATTTTAACTACACCAAATGATGTTATACTTTTGGATCAACGATTTCCTAAAAGACCAATGCTTACATGGGCACATCACCACAGCAGTCCTCCCAGTGGAGTTAATATTATAACAAAAAAACAAAGTAAATTATTTCACAATCATGGTTTATTTCCCTTAGAAATAATTTGATTTTTCTAAATTTTTTAATTCTTGTTAAGCTTCGATTGTTTTAATATGGTCAAAGAACCCCCCTACTATAACATCATTCCAATATTTAACTTCCACATCCGGACCTGTAATATCTACCAATCATCCTGTTTCAATTCCACCTTTTACCACGCATCCAACATTTTCTCGATCGAAATACTTGAGGACGCCTTATACAATACGAGACGACCAAATCATGGAAGGATATTTTCAACAGCATAAATTACCCCCACTTTCGAGCGTATTATTACTTGAAAATAACGTCTCCTCAAGGAATTCTACCCATTTGGGTTCCTGTTTTAATATTTTTCAACTTTCTCAGACTGGTGCTTTGTATTCACAGGTTTTTCAAGCTAGAGTTGAAACAGATCCCTTTATCCAGCAAAATGTACCATCAAATTTGCAAATTAGCGACATGTCAAAGTCAATAGCTTCCCTGCATCATTTAGCAGATATGGATGTTGGTACTACGCCGGAATTACGTGTGAAACAGAATCAAAGTTGGTCTTTTGAGAAATTATGGGATTGTAAGTTTCTATTTTACATAAAAATGTTTTTATTGCGATTTTAGATCTGGATTTTAAATAAACGTTTCATTTTAGATATTTCTAAAGACTTTAAATGTGTATCTTCCTTGAATAATGTGTCTCCTTTTGTTCTTGAAATCGGTGCATTATTTGTTTCATGGGAAAGCGTGCAAATTTTTTTTGAAAATTATGGGCATGCGTTTGGCTTTAATTGTCAGAAAAAGTCCATCATGAAAGATCTTAATGGGAATGTTCGATCCTTAACTTATGCTTGTTTGGAAGCAAAAACCACAAGGCGTAGGGTAATGGTTCTCTGTGAATGGAGAATTACACTTTCATCTATCAAATCAAATGAATGTATTCTTGTAACCGAATTTATCAATCAACATAATCACGACCTTTTTTCGGAATTGTATAATTCTGAAGGATGCAGATCACGTATTGACAATAACATAGAGATGGGAGTAATTCCAACTGAGGATTCTATACAAGAAGTTCTTATGAATTGCGATGCACTGCAACAAAGCTATACTAATCCCTTTGCATACATTTTGAAAAAGTTCTATAACGATAATCGTTTAATTGTAGACAACACTGGACATCCTATAACATTGTATCCTTTATTAGTTTTTGTATATGATTCATATAAAACTTATAACTTTTATTCTTAACCGTAACGTAGATATGAAATATTGAGAAATATACCAAACGTTCACATTAATGGATCCGAAGCTCAAATTTTTCACCAATTTTCTGAAGCTTCAATATTTAAAAAGAATCCATTGGAATTGTTTGTTGAATGGTCTCTTTTCGATGTTAATTTGTTATTTGAGCATTTATGGAATGAAGATCTTAATTCAGCTTTAACGATTTTTCAAATTTATGGATTCCCTAATATTGATATATCTAATAAAAAACCTGCCGATATTGAGAAAGATATTAATTCCTATTTACAGAAAGCATATCCATTATCCGCTGGCGTACTTGAAAATACTTATGTCGATGATCAAATCAAACGCAGTCGCCAATATGCTATAGATGAAGTTTCAAGAGATCTTGTCGAATGTTCACAGTCTTTTATTTCGAAACGTCAGAATTGTTTTAAATTTTTATTATCTTCAGATTTCCTTCCAGAACAAAATTCAGATCTTTTTGCAATTAAATGTAAAAAACCAATTAACAAAGATGGAACTTCAAGAAAAGAAAATGATGGATATGTAATGTCAACGGCAGCACAAGAATTGTTTGATGATTGGGTTATAGATCAAAGTCTCGAAGAATATGATTATAGATTCCTTGAAGATATTATGGAAACGTCAAAAGCTTCAATAAATAATTTAGAAAAGGAACAAGAGGAAGAATTACTTAATGAAACGGAAAATCCTTCCATAAAGAATATCGAAGGATATGAATCTACAAATGTCATGGATAACGAGATTTCGAATAGAGCCGAATCTTCACGGATAACATTGCAACCTGCATTAAATGTTTCTGAAGGAGGAGGTTTAAGTCAAATATTGGAAAAACCAAAAAAGAAAAAACGAAGATCTGGTTTCCGATAAATTTTTTTTCATATTTTATTGTTTAAGTTTATCATGACTGAAAAAATTGAAAACTTACTAACAATGCTTGAAAACTTCTAACAATTTTGCACTTATTAATAAACCGAACATATTAATATATAATAGATTTTAAAAGTATAAAACAAAACAAATTTATTATTTGATTTATGACTAGTATACAAATTAATTTTTTGTTGTCAAATCAAAATACAAAGTTATAATTATAATTTAGGATTTCTTAACCAATAAGATAAAAGTTTTATTTAACCGGATTAATGTGTAATATTTCATTAAATTTAGTTACAAAATATAAGATAAGATTTATTAAAAGCCAATCAATAAAGTCTAAATTACTTGAATTACATATAAAATTTAAATATATTAAGTATCTATTAACAATTCGATAAAGTCTAAATTACATAAAATTTAAATATATTAAGTATCTATTAACAATTCGATAAAGTCTAAATTACATAAAATTTAAATATATTAAGTATCTATTAACATCAACAATATTTGATTACGTAATACATTATCTAAACCACTTCCTTTGTTCCGAATACATACGGTGACGTGACTTCGTCACGGTTGCGAATTATACGTTGTCGAATCGTTCTTTCAGGAGGCGAGAATTCGACATTCACAAACTTGTATAATTTGTTGGTGTCTATTTTGTATTTAAAAGAAAAGTTGAGAGTGCGTTAGATTTGGATGCGTAGTAAAAAATATAGTTTTAAGTAAAAAATTTTATCGACTTTTACTTACCGCCATTTTATAATATTCAGTTGAGAAATGAAAGGGGTTTTTACCCAGCTTTTATGCATTTAAGGATATTATTCAAGTGATTTTAAATTATTGTCGGAGAAATAAAGTTATATAATTTCATATAAATAAATGGGTGAGTGTTGCGAAAAGAAACCAAATTGTAAAGAAAAAATTTTCAATTTGAAGGCTTTTCAGGTTATTATTTATAATAAAATTATTAACGTATTAAACAAACGAATGAAATGGTTTGATTTTTAAACGTGTTGTAGATGGTCCTTACACAAGAAAATTTAGTAGATTAGATTGTAAAAAAGAAACTTGGCCTTCGCTGATTGGTACAATCTCACGTCTCACACTGTAGTGGCCCTTACGAGATTGTAAAAAAACTTGGCCTTCGCTGATTGGTCTGTAATGAATAAAATCTTACGTTTCACACTGTAGGGGTACTACCAGGGATTCCGTAAAATTTTTTTCGATTTGAAATAAAATTTCTTTGGCTGGAATTAACAATTAGGTATGTAATTCTGACTGAAATTAAGATCAAGTACCAATAGACGAAATGTTTTTATTATATGTAATTATAAAATTAACAAAATTAATTACATGTGATTTATATACAAAGTATTAAGCATTTGAAGGGAATCTTGACTCAGATTTTCTCTATCCTCATCCAAAATATTATTATAAACAGAAAAACTGCATTCTACATTATAAGAAGAAATAGGTATCCAAATATAATCTAAAGCAATTTGACTTAAAAGAGGCAGATAATTATGTGAAACTTTTTGCCAAAATTCCTTCAAGTTTGAATAATATTTGAGTTTGAGTTGCTTTAAAAAATGTATGATATGGGTAATTTGAAATATGTTTCCTATATTTTTTAGAAGCTATATTATAAGCAGATTTGAATATTGACTAAAATAATCCAAATATAAAATTAAGATTTTGAATAGTAGATTCTCCAAAATTTTCCATTGCCATTATTACTCCATTATTAATATAAGTATCTAGTTATTCCAACGGCTCGCCTATCAATAAAAAAAATAAATAAAGGTTTTCTTGCTGAAAAAATTTTAAGTCATTTATAAAATTTTATGCATGAATTTTAATATAAGAAAGATAAATTTGAATGCAACTATTTTTGGTTGTATCATTGTAAATTTTCACCAGTTTTTTATAGTTTTATTATTATCATTTTTTTGTTCTTCCAAATAGAAGTTTCAAAGAAGTTGATAATGATCATTTATATAAAAGACCATTTTAAACCAAGAATTCCATTGAGTAGCAACAGAAAAAGGAACATTTGTAGGATTTTGTATATTATTTCTTGATAAAAAGAAAAGGTATTGTGCACATTAAGCTTTAGCCAAAATAAAAGTTTTCTTAATATTTGCCAATTAGATTTTTACTAAATTAAAATATGCGATAAATATTCATACTTGACTAATCAGAAATATACAAAAGAGATTTAGTTTAAGCTATCAAATGCTTTAATTTAATTAATTTAATCAAACTATTTCTTATCTAATAAGATTAAGAATATGTGTTAAACAAGATAAATAAATAAGTTGAGACATAATTGGTTTGAGAACTTCGCAATGACTTTTTTCATATAGGATGCTAAATCTGATGCTAAAAGGCATGAAAAATTAAATGGTATAGACCATTCTATTAATGTACAAATAATAAACTAACCAATAGTAATATTGTTAATAGAATTCAAGAAATTAACTGCTATAAGTCTCATATTACTATGATAACTAAACAAGATATTAATAATACTTCGAGCCTGACTATCAGTTGTTTCTTCAACAATTATTGATACTGTTTTATTTCAAAAAAACTTCTTTTAAATCATCAATATGTTGTTGATAAATTTCTAATAAGTAATTTCACTTCAATGCATCAGCTTGTGAAATTGTATCACCTTCATGATAATGTTTTTTAAGAAAAGATTGGAATGTATTTATTTTTTCTAAAAGAATATTTGCTTTAACAAATACTTTTTCAAGATTCTGAATTATCACCTTTTTAAATTTTGCAATAAATAAAACTCTGTCTAAAATTTGAGGATGGTATTTTGTGTAGCTGTTTCATAGTTTTTTTTATTTTTGATATGAATTTTACTTTTAATATGTGAGAAATACTAATTTTAAATTCTTAACTAAAAGAATATCCACAAAAAAGACATACAAGGGAATTATTAAAAATATCAAAAGTATTTGAAAAATCTTTTTGGCGAGTATATGGGGTAGTGATACCTGCCTAAACTCTTTTTTGAAAATTATAATTTCGTCAAAAGTTTCGTCTCTTTAATATTTTTATATGAATAAATATAAAATTATTATATTTTTTAATGTATTTTAATTTAAGAAATTTAGATTAAATTAAATATAATTTTGGCAATTAAGTAAAATAATTTTGTCATTAATAAAAAAACTAGTTACATCATTTCAATTTTGCTAATTTCGTCATATTAAGAAAGATAATTTTGTTAGGTATTACTAATATAGGGTAACTTGTTTAGTTTTGGCTGACATCATTGCAATGAAATGCATTTGCATTAAAAAATTGATTGGATAAAATCTAATCAATATCCAATCATATTTTTGTATTTTGCGATTTTGAACTAATAATATTCTTTAAATTTAAAATAGGCAAAATTTTGAAAATTTTCGATTTAAATAAAATCTTTCGAATTCTTTTGAAAAATTAGTTTCAAAATTTTACGGGTTTCTAGATACTACATAAGTACAATTTGGGTTTATACTAAAGATAATACAGCAATTGATTTCAAATTTACAAAATGTTGCAACATAAGCTAAAATTAGTTGCAATATATGTTGCAACATTATA